AAAAATTGGCATATACCGCAGAATTGCAGCGGGTACGGCCATTGACGTCCCAATCCTCGCCTTGAACAGGGCTGAGTCTCTTTGGGGAGACGACGCATTGGAGTTCAGGTAGTGATCGCACATAAACATTGCTTTCCTGGAGCTGACTTCCGTTTTCTTCAGGCCGGAACGTTGGAACTCACTCCCTCAGGTAGTCAATGGTATCCCTGGGGTTTGGAGCAACATCATGACGTTCATTGGAGGACCGCGAGCGTGCATTGGATATCGGTTTGCAATGCTCGAGTGAGTGGCATCTCCCTACGTGTTGTGATGCCACATATCTCAATTCGTTGGAAAGGATAAAGGCACTCATATTTGTCTTGCTGCGAGCTTTCCGATTCAAGCTTGCCGTTCCGCGAGACGATTTGATCACTCGGTCTACTGTGATTCGCCGGCCCCTGGTCCGCAGTGAACCAGACAAGGGTATCCAGATGCCCATGCTGATTACTCCTCGACAAGCGCAGCCCGCATGATTGCGGATGTGGATCGCTTGGAGCATACATCTTCCTTGTTGCCAAGCTCAGACTCGGACCGGAGATCAGTTTACAAACACGCGTCACAATTCTGTGCTTTTAGTGCCGTGTGTGATATAGTGCGGTACATTGGGATGCAATTGTTTAGTATACGTTAGAGCGCAGTGGTCGACTCAAACCTTCGTTCATTACAAGCCTGCGGAGATCATCAATACACTGTGTCGTTCCAGACATGGTTATAAGAGCACCTCCATGACAGGTTGGCGTACTCGGACTGATCAGCGGGACCACTCATTCGTTGTCCGTGAGCGAGCCAGTGCAGTTGTATGCAACAGCGCCATCCTCACTCGGACAATCTATGCATCATTTCAACGCCAATGAACGAGACAATCTGGGGTTCGACACTTACTCAAGTATTCTTCGCAGCATGCTGCGTACATGCCTTCCCACTGTGGCCCGATGCTAGGTAGTAGTGTGAGCATGTAACGCAACCGATGGGCAGCGGCATAAGACCCACCACGATACGTTGGCCTCGCACCCGGCCGCAGTCAACAAGCTTGTGTCGGGCACAGTGACACCGCATACATTCTCCCAGACGTATTCGTTCTCATAGAATGGGTTGAGGCTGAGGCAGCAGAGAGACAATGGCATTGTTGAAGGGCATGATGCCTGCGCAAATGCAATGCCAGTGAAGGCGAGAACCAGAATCATCGAGAACTGCATTTCGTCAATGAATGGCGCCCCCTACTTTCACTCCCTTGTGTTTATATAGGCCCATCCTTGCTTTGACGTCTATGTAAACACGAGGTCAGGTCAAGGCATGGCTGAGACACGTCTAGCCAGTCCAATCAAGCCACGAAGGTAGATTGAACGGCCGGTCTTAGGCTGCTGATCTTGGGCGTAGGCCGCCTACTGTGCTGACCGCGACAGCGCACCTAGTCGCACGGTAATTCCGATTAATAGCAATGCAGCCATACTCATGCTACTCCGACCCGATGTCGAGCCAGGTCAACGATTGGAGCGCCAAGAGACACACGCTCTATACATTCGTTGAGCGATCGTAGACACATGTCCCACTAGTCCCGAAATCCAGTACTTATACTCACCCGGAAGTGGAATCATTCCACGGGGATGGCTGGACCACACCTCGACATCCTCCGCATACTCGCAGAGGCGCTATCAAGGCTGTCTCTCGCCAGGATGGAAGAACAGCGCGCGAGAGGTAGTCCAGAACTCGAAATGAGCTAGACAACATAGCACTGTAGCGTTGCGGTCGCGCACCTTTGGGACAGTGTAGAGATGATATAGTCTACGAGTTGCACGACGCTCTCCAGACACGACTCACAAATATCGGGGGCAGCAAATACTCTGGTAGGCAGATAATTCGACCTTGCTGAAGGAAGCAGGAGTACTGGGGATGGTCGTGGCAGCATGGAGGGCAGCGGCTGTTAGACGCGCCGAGCGTGGGAAGAGCGCGAAGGTGCGCGAAGGGTGCGCGGGCGGCGGGGCATTTGTTGCACAGCTCATACTCGCGGTGTCGTGTTACACAGCTCTTCCACCCCCAACGTGCCGGTGTTCTTGTTCCAAGTTTGGCCCCGAGACGAGACGAAGAAAAGAAAAGCGATGAACAAAACGAGGGACAATGGGCCGGTTGCCTCGTGTTCGTGCCGCATGCCGCTCTGATTGGCCGTGTGCCCTCTCCCACCTCCTCCACCACGGCGACGACTTCTTGTCCTCGACCATTGATAAGCTCAGCCCTGTTCGATTCGTGGTCAACCCATTGCCTGCGATCGAGTCGCTCCCCCGGTCCTTCTGCCGGTTCTTCCACTTCTCTCTCACCGCCGCCACCAGGCTGCGCCTAGTCGGCACTTTTCACTCATCGCGTTGCGAGGCTCTCTATCGCAACCTTCTACAGCGACCACCATGTACTTGCGTGTCCCTCTCCTCCTCTTCCTGCTGGCCAGCGCCGCCCCTTCCGATGCCAGCATTATCTCACGCAGCTCGGAACATGTTCTGCGCACCATTAACTCTGCGCACCGACACGCGGTGAAACGCAGCTCCAATCTGGCTCGCGACTTGCGCCGTGCCCTAGCTCCCATCCTCATCTCTCAGGACTACAGCTCACAGAGCGTGTACTGTGTCAACGGAGGTGGGCTCCTTGGAGGCAGCGGGTCGTCAGACTCTGGATCGTCCGGGGGCTCGGGGAGTAGTGGAGCGAAGGCATCGGGGACATCCACTGCATCAGCTGTCAAAAGCTCGAGTACGGCATCGTCATCATCATCGCCGTATAAGCTGCAGCAGAACTACGTGCGTGTGCCACTTGCACACAAGTGGCCTCAGGCTGACTTCTTGGCAGGAGGGCAACTCGTTCTTCAACGGCTGGACATTCTTCACCGAAGGCGACCCGACCGATGGCAACGTGCAATATATCGATAGCGGTACTGCGGTGCGTCTCACTGTTTGTCCGGTATGGAGCGCCACACTGACCAGTGCCTGCAGTCGTCGGACAACTTGACGGGTATCAACAGCGCAGGCAACGCGTATATGCGCGTGGACACTACGCAGACTGTATCTGGAAACCGCAAGAGTGTGCGTATATCCACAAACTACACGTTCACTCAAGGTCTGGTCGTAATGGACGCCGTGCACGCGCCTACCGGCTGCGGCACCTGGCCAGCTTTCTGGACAGATGGTGAGTCGAGTGTCCTTTCCCATTATCCATGCACTGAATCGTAACATTAGGTCCCAACTGGCCGAACGGCGGCGAGATCGACATCATGGAAGGCGTGAACTCGCTCACTATTAACCAGGCCTCCATCCACACTGCCTCCGGATGCAGTCTCCCTTCCGGCGACAGCAAGACCCTCGGCATCTCTGGCACCGTTGTTGGAGGTACGAACTGTGCTGCCGAGGAAAGCGGCGATGCCGGCTGTGGCGTACAGTCCAGCGACACTAGCTCGTACGGTGTCGGCTTCAACAATGTCGGTGGCGGGGTCTATGCTAGTGCGTATGACATTATCTATCTGCATGGAGGAGATCGCTGACGCGGTGCGTAGTGCTATGGGATGATGACGGCATCAAAGTGTGGTTCTTTGCGCGCTCCTCCATCCCGTCGGACATTTCGAGGAGCGCGCCGCAGCCCTCGGGTTGGGGCACGCCGCTGTCGTTCTGGCCGAACACGGATTGCAACATGTCTACATTCTTCTACGACCACCAGGCAATCTTCGACACCACGCTCTGCGGCCAGTGGGCCGGCAACGCGTGGACCACGACTGGTGGCACTGGGCAAGAGCAGAGCTGCGCAACCACGACTGGCGTCGCAACCTGTGCGGAGTACGTTGCCAACCATGGCGATGCCTTCGCGGATGCATGTGAGTTATCTTCTCATGCGACTATCTACTCTCGCCGACGTTGTGCTAGACTGGGAGGTCAAGAGTGTCAAGATTTACCAAGAGAATTAACCTCGCCCGCACCAGCAAGACGAAGTGCTCTCATAACGACATACACGATCAATTGCAATGTGAACTGCTGTATCTTATAGATCTTCATTGGAAGGGTCACCCTATAGAGGTTGTATCATGGAGGAGGATTGGATGAATATAGACACTATCACATGTTAATATCGCACACCACGGAATGCAAGCCATGCTGTGTTTCTGCATTGAAGATACTGCGTGTTTGATGTACTGGACAGGCTCGCCATGAAGGAGATACTTACTCCACCCCGAATGCCGCAATGACACCCGGTTGTATCACACGTACGAGGACCATGAAGCATGAGGAGCAGCGCTTGCTCAGCATATCATAACGATGCATACAAGGTGGTGCGCGGTTTTAGCAGAGCGACGGAAGGAAACCGGACGGAAATGCGATGCAATAAACAGAAGGCTAGACGGAGCGATGAGAGTATCACATCCAGATCACCGGGTCTACAAAGACAACAGCAATGAGTGCCAATACCGACTAGCGTACAACGCACGTACCTTCTGGAACCCGATGGCGGCAGCCTTCTCGCGGAAGCACTGGCGGCAGAGGTCAAGTCCGTACTTGCGGATGAGACCAGCCTGGTGCGCGCAGTGACGGCTTGACATATCACGATCTCTCAGCACACCGCACTCGTACCATGTACCAAGGATGCTCACCACTGGCGGGCGCCCTTGCCGTACTTGCGGGGGCGAGAGAACCAAACGGCGTCGTGGGTCATTTTGGCGAGGACTTGAGGGATACGCTACCAGATACGCAAGAGATGAGGACGCCAGACACAAGCAGTAGACTGAGCGGTTTACTCACCGATGTTGATGTTGCGGTAGTGCTTGCCGATGATGGCGACGACGAACGTCTGTTGTCCTGTATAGTCCCTCGAAGAATAAGGTTTGACTCGGATCACGGCATTCTCCTCGGATTCGGCTACGACCGATCGGTGGAGCGTTATTGGCGCCCACTCATGACTGGGCGAAACATAATTATACAGTATTGCAAACAAATATCGCCTGCCTAGCTCAATCGGATAGAGCGTCAGACTCTTATGAGGGCACGGTGAATTGCGTACTTCTGCAAATCTGAAGGCTGCGAGTTCGACCCTCGCGGTGGGCTAATGTTTTACTTTTGGTGCCAGTGGGCAATCGCTTCGAGGGGTTTGGCCAACTATAACGTGCCGCCTTAGAAGCTAGTGACAGTGCAACCCTTCGTACCAGTTATGTACCTCGAGCTTTTTCAAATTTTTTATGTGCAAGTCTTCTCCCGTTGACCTCATGCCACGTACGGCCGGTGCACTGCATAAATTTGCACAAGTTATATAGGGAGTTTGGGTTATGGTCTCACACGCAGTAAGTACGCATATAAGCTATCACAAGAAAGTTGTGTCGTAAACCCAGCAACAAGACTATCATCCATCCAAGTCCATCCAATTAATGCGCAGACATGCCACCTAGAGCCTCACGCCTTCCAAAACCCGCGTGAGAGCCCGTACACCGTCATCCACACCGTCGTCCTCGTCCTCATCCTCGTCGTCCATGAGCGAGAATGCTCTGGGCACCTTCTGGGTCGACCTCTTTATCTTCCATGCATGCGTTGGCGTCGCAAGAGGGTTGCGGACATAGACGCCTTCTGACATGGGTGTTGGGGACGCTACTGTTAGTGGCGAGTCTGACATCGCGCGGCTTTAGCTAGCATCCTAGGGAGTGATATAACGGCGGGCTTACCGCGGCCCTTTGCCGAGGCCATGGCGCTTCCCGCCTTACTTCGTGGTGTCTTCGGCGCGCGCGGCGTAGTGGGGAAGAGCGGAATAAGCCTCCCCGCTTTGCATACACCGCACACTGCGTCGTACGGAGCAGAACGATGAGACCACCTTCTGTGTCCATAGCAACTGACGTACCGCATGCCTCAGGCTTAATTGACTTGCTGAAGCGGCCGTAGCTGGCAGACATGTCGCTCAGTTAGCCACGAAACAGGCGAGCGACAGGTACTCACATCTTGTCACAATCTTCGCACTCTGTCACAAGTGAGTCCAAGCAAGCAGTGCGATAGAATCCATTGCTTACTCCATTCGAACTTGTAGTCGATCTCATAGTTGTGCTTGGTCTGCAAGAAGTAAACATGAGAGAGCATATGTGCGGAGCGAAGTGCGACCGACCGTGACTTCAATGTCTGTGCGCTCTTTCATGACTTTCTGCGCCCTGCAACAAATGAAAAACAATTCCTCTCCAAGGGAGCATGTTCGACTCACCATCCCTTGAATATATTGCCATGGTTTTCCGTAGGCGCATCGCTGATGACCCAGCAGGCAAGATGACACATCTCGTGCGAGAGCGTGTTCCGAATGCGTTCTGCGCAGAGTGGGTGTTTAAGTTGAACATCGTCGACAAATGTGATTTTGTCTAACCTTCGGATGTGAGGATCTTCATGGCCAACTCGATCATGGTCGTCTGCACACCCTCTCGGTTCCTGTGACACCAACCACAGCCACATACCATCAGCGCCCACTCTCTGCACTTCCGCAGACAGAGACAACAACCTCGACCACTTAGCGCGCCCGGCCGTCGACACCAGTCGCTTGTTCCACACTAGGTTCGTATCCCCTGGTAAGCCGCCGTCGAACACCGTCCTATTCATCTCGCTGAAGAACGCCTGCGCGTACTGCTCCCTACGCTGCTGCTCTGCTGCTTCCAGAGCCTTCTTCGTCAGCCGCGGCACCTTCCTTGATCCAGCTTTCTTGGGCTGTGAGGCCGGTCTGGCGTTGCGAACTGGTGCGCTCGCCTGGGACTCGACGTCCGTATCTGACTCGTCCTCCGAGTCGGTCGAATGAATGGAGACGATCCGGCGGTTTGGAGTGCTCGGTAGGGAGACAGAGGGCACTTTGCGAGCAGGGTATGAGAGGTTGGTCATGCGTAGTGGCTTGCGTGCGCTTCGCGGCTCATCCCTGTGTACCATATTCAGCGACAACGGCGATACTCGACAAGCACAGATGCGACACACAGCACCAATATAGAGCCATCGTGCGTGTTCATGGGATCGTCGTCGTCATCATCCTCGTCAACAAACAAAGGAATGGTGTGCTTATTCTCGTCATTGGGCGAAGAGCGAGACGTGGTCGCCCGCGCTGCCAGCCCATGAGCTGGCTTCGCGGACACTCGTCTTACATTCGTGGGCATGGCATCCACGCTCCCGTCCTCGTCGGAACTGACAGTCAAGTCTATGACTGCGTCCGCGGTCGTGGCCGCAGGCCTATTCGTGACATTTGGTAGTGGCTGGAGAATCTGAGCAGAGGTTTTTGCACGCTCAACATGCTCGGCTTCGGCACCCTCGGATTCAGAACTCTCAACGACGCGTCGAGCGCGTGCAGGGCGATGAACAGGACTGCAGACAAGAAACGCGTGAGAGAAGTACGAGGAGGAGGTCAGGGACCCACATGCACTCGTCCTCATCTTCATCAGAAGACACAATCACAACCGCATTTGCCCCGTCAGCAAGCTGACCGCGTCTCTTGGCCTTCCTCCGCCTAAGTCCATATGTAAATGCCAGCATCCGTGTGATATAGCGCGCAGACCCACTGGAGCCGCTCCTCCTCGCTGTCGGGCACGACGTCGTCACCCGAATCTTGAATCCGCATCGCACGCATGCTCGAGACGTCGAGCGCGACGCGGAGCGGGACTTTGTGACACAGCGGTCGGCTATTTTGAAACTCAGCCATTGTTGGAGCGCGTGCACTTGAAGTCCCGGACAATGGGGACGGATCGGGCGGACAATGGCGCGAGGAAGGATGGACAATGGAGCGTGGAATGATGGGGATGGTTGTGGTGCTGTAGGGTGCTGTGGGTGCCGGCGGAGACATGCACGCAAACACTGGATCACCTCAGCGATCAACTTGAACACAGACGCATCACGTGCACGCGTCCATCGCGATCCTCAACAGGCGCTTGACTTAAGATCTTCGTTCGCGCTCTTCCCTCACATCCTCAGATTTTGCAATCAGCATATAACCCTGGAATTACTAACGATACACAGATCTAATGTGGCATGCGATACAACCTCAACAAGCATTGGGCCAGCCAGAGACGGGATGGTAAAAAGAGACACAAGCAAATGCTTCAGTTCGTCTGGTAGATCTTCACGCTCTTCACCTCCCAGTCTACAACGCAAACCATCAGAATCACGTCGTATCAATGAACTAAACAGCACTCACAAGCTTCGCTGAAAGCACCCCCATTGTTCAAAACGTAATCAGCACACGTCGCCGTGTTCGTCATCGCAGCGCAGCTAGTCTCCTGGCCCGGCACACCAGTAGATTCCCAATTGGTTCCAGCCCAGTCACCACTGCCGCACGGTCGATATCAGACATGGATTCCGCATTGCGAGGACACAGCGACGTACCAGAGGGTCGTGTCCAAGATGAGGGAGTGGTCATGAAAGAACTCCGTCGTGTTGCACGAAGTTGACGGGAAGCTTGCAATAGGTGTGCCCCATGCATCCGGGTTTGGCGTGCCGGCGGTGATGTCGGCTGGAATAGAGTTGCGAGCAAAGAAATGGACAGTGATGCCACTGTCGACCCATTGCACTACACAAGGTCAGCACGTCGCGCACAGACGATGGCGATCGAAGCTCACTCGCATAGACACCACCACCCATGGCGTTGAACCCCGCCCCGTACGAGTTCGTCTCCTCAGATCGCACCCCACACCCCGCGTTCTGCGTATCCGCAGCCGCGCAGTCCTGCGTGCTCACAAGCGTGCCCGAGATTCCGAGCGTGTCCGCGTTCGTCGAGGGAAGCGCACAGCCAGGGCTCGTGTGCAGGGTGACCTGGTCGTTAGTGTAAGTATTCACGCCCTCGACGATGTCGATCTCGCCGCCACTCGGCCAATTCGGGCCGTTCGACCAGAACGCGGGCCACGTCCCGCACCCGGTTGGCATGTGCGCTGCGTCGAGCACGACGATGCCCTGCGTGTAAGAGAAGTCGGTCGTCATCCGCACGCTCTTACGCGCCCCGGAGACGACGGGTGTCGTGTCGACCGCCATGTATGCGTTCCCAGCGCTGTTGATCCCTGTCAGGTTCGCGGTTTGCTGAGCAAAGGTCAGAATACAAAGGCAGTATGAAGGGACGGTAGCACTCACAGCAGCAGCGCCGTTAATAAAGTCCACCGTGCCACCGGTCGGGTCGGTGTCGGTGAAGAAAGCCCAGCCACCGAAGAACGAGTTTCCTTCCTGTATGCAGTGACCGCGTCAAATCCCCATTTGGACATTCAAAGAAGCTCATACTCACGTAGCTTTGTTTGAGCTTCCAAGGAGATGATGCAGCAGCGCTGCTGCTCGCTGCAGGAGCTCTGGACGAGGTTGCCGATGGCCTGACCCTCCCAGACGCCGTCGTCGATACACTAGCAGCCGGCCTAGCTCCGTCTCCTCCGTTTGAGTTGCTTCCCTTAGCGAGCGACGAGTCATTGGTAGCTAGGTTGACGCAGAACGGGGTCTGGGATCCTGAGCTGGGGTCGGAGCGGCGTGTGCGGATGCCGGAGTACGCGAGGCGAAGGTCGCGGATGAAGTTCTCGCTCCTGCGGTGCGCCCGGCCGGCGGTGCGCACACTAGGTTCAGACTTCCGCAAGAGAGCGCTGGCATCCACAGAGGCCAGGCTTGCGAGTAGGCAAAACAAGAGGGGTACGCGGGCAATCATAGCCAAAAGAGAGTGAGAATGAGCGGACGTCGGCCGTCGAGGCGAGGCGAGGTGCGATGGAACGAGGACACGCAGTGGAGTGGAGGAGGTTCTATGGCTTCTCCTGTGCGGCGGAGTCCTTTATTAAGGGCACCGGGGTCTTTCAAGGTGGAGACAAAGCAGGGCCGGCACAGTGCTTTGACGATGTCCGTAAACAGACAGACAAAGCGATGCTGTATCGAGGTGAGATTGGGGTAGAGATGCGCAGGCAGGGGGAGGGTGCAGGCCCGAGCTCGCGCGCGGAGCATGCGTAAAGGCACCATGCACGCAGCCCTTGGCCACCTGGCGTCAGCAATGGCTGTGGAACGAAGAGCCACTAGAACGCGTCACGGTGCGCACCATTTGAATATGGTCTCGGAGGACGGTGTTCAGGATGTGGTAGGCAGCAATTCTA